AAACCACTTCAGATTCCCACTGTTATGATACAGAATGTGTTGAAAGTAGCAATTAAAAGGCAGAACCACACTAGCAGATGTAATCACTTTGGAAATGTAGGAAGAAATGAGAAAAGGCATGGAGAAGGTAGAGAAAAATGTGATCCTCTTGTTGGCACAATCCCTGCTGTCTGCCCTGTATATCAATCATGTATGATAATTTACAAGGTTCTCCATGACACAGTATTACAAGCATGTTAATGACCTAGAATAAAGCTTGTTAATAACCCAGAAGACAAACTTGTAAATGTCATAGAAATACATGGGGTTTTTAACAAAAAAGAATACAAGCTTGTGAATGATTTAGAGTATTAGCCTACATGTGTGTTTCATTCCTGTCTAGGATTTGATTATATACCAGTAAAGATACACTTGAGAAGTTCACCATCACCTCCAAACCATATGTCTGGGTGGCTGATCCAGATCAGCTCCAAGAGAAATATTGGTTGAGAAGTCTATAGGCACTAAGTACACATCCCTGTCATCTGTAACCTGCGAACTGTGATAAGAACTGAAAGCAGGTTTTACATTAGCTCCTGGGAATATGATTGTGTTTCTAAAATTGGCAACATGATTGCAGTAGTAAGCTGTATCTAATAGTGTTCAGCTCCATGTCAGACCTTGTTAGCCTGCATTTTTTCAATGTTGTTTCCGCAAATATTACCTTTAGAAAATAAAGACGAAAAAGAAACATTTGAATGACGGATTCCCCCTCAGAAATGGACACAAAATCAAAATTACCTTCTTTAATACTGCAACATTATCTCAAAAAAAAAAAAAAAAAATCACAAAATTTATTATCAATTTTTCCATATTCTAAATTTCCAATATCGACACATTAATGAGAAGGGAAAAATGCAAAATTATTTTGCAAGAGTGTTTTTTTTTATCATAGATCTACTTAGCATCAGCTAAGCAGACCTGCAGCTGAGAGACATCAGTAGCACTCAAAAATAACATCAAAGATGTGTAGCATTTGAAATCTAGCAGGCATGAAATAACTTGTTTTCAACAGGGTCATGAAGTAAGATATGGATTATTTCCCTCAGGACTGGATTATTTCCCCCTTGACAATTGAATTGTGTGTTTCCATAAAAAATCTAACTATCTGACGCAAATTTTTCTTGCATAAACTAGTAGTGAGTTTACACAGAGGAAATCAGGGATGCAGACCAACCATAGTGGTAAACTTGAACTTCGCAACAGACCACCGAGTTCTGACAGTCCCAAGGTGTTTTCTGAACACACACAAATTAATTTCCAGGATTGACATACACCAATTCTCCGAGTTTTAGTGTGTTTACAGTAAAATTCTGTTGAAAAAAATCAATATCACATCACGTTTTTGCCAATCAATTGGTCTAGATTGTATAATTTGCTCAGTTTTACAGATGTACTTCACACAAATAACTACTGAATGTGATCCCATTATCACATTACCTCCACACGTCCTACTGCTGGCTGCCATCTGTATATCTACCTTGTACCTACAATTTCACTTAAATCTGCTTGAAGGCAGGACATTAACATTACAAAATGATATCGTCATTCCAAAAGCTATGAAAATAACTATTTATTACCAGAATGAACGTTAACTGCACTTCTAGGAATTGATTTTCACTTTTAATTTAATCTGTGTTAAATTCATTGCGAGAATGACAGCATATCTACTTCCATCATTTTATCTCTTTGTTTTTGCTATTTTCAAATTCTTAACAACTTACAACTTTATTACCGACACATCCTCTTCTTGCCTATTTTAATATAAAGTTGACATATGGGCCCTGTCTTCGTATTGACATAAAGTTCAAATGAATCAATAGAGTGCAACATTAAGACTGAAGCAGATCCTGATTGGTCTGGCTAGATATGTCTGCAGGCAGGACAAACCGCAAACAACATCAACATATTGTAGCATGTGTACATATTAAACGCTTCCAATCACCTCCCATTGACCATCATCACAACAGCCAAAACCCAAAATGTTTTAAATCACTTCCAAAAAATACAATCACAAGACAAAAAGCCATTTTCTCTTACAGTACAGGAATCAAACGACACGATGGGTTTTTCAGAAAATTTCATGGTTTTAGAAACTCTCATCTAAGTGTGTTTAGTAATGGGCATTTTTGTCACTTATACCTAACTGGACACTGTACATCCAATAACACTTTTTACAATACGAAAACATTTCAGCTTCTGATTTCCATATAATATAGTATCATCCCCCCCCCTTTTTTTTTATTTGAATAAAGAAATAATTCAGTTTTAAAACTATCTATTTTCCCTAAACAATTATTCTGATCATAACTTTTCTAGTCTTTTTTATAGGCACACAATAAATCTTATGAGTCTCAAAAAAAACATTACCCCACAAAAATTACGAAACGTTATGTATTAGAAATCAATGTTAGGTACCATATATATAGTTGGTACTTGGGTTTCTGTTTATATTACAACTGGTAAGGTAGCAGGATCACTGTCCTCTTCCTTTGGAGGACATGTGTCCCATAACAAAGCTTGGTACGGAGGCTGGCAGGGTCCTATTGGCATCATTACAGTCACATTAATAGCCAGTAACTAGGTTTCAGAGAAGCTAAACACTCTAGAGACATTGATCGCCTCTCGATTCCCAGTGTCGTTCCCGCCGTAAACAATACGGAATCTCCACTTAAGATTAGACACAATATCTACATGACATAGTGTAACATAGAGGAACCTTTTGTCGCAAGTGATGGAGAAAATTGGGTTTTCATGTAAAGCACATCCATTGTTTTTGCCACCATCAGGAATGAAGCATTGGCCTTTTATATTCATAGGAATCAACCATTAGTACTTTGTTACAATTGTATTTATAAGTTCTATCATGTTGCATGCTAACAAGAGATAAAGAAGAATATTTCGGAAGATAATGAAAATTGCCAATGGAAACATAAAAGATCTGTCCTTATTGATATATGTTTTAGGACACAGTGTCTAGGCACTAGAAACACCATACAAACCATCAATGTGCCAATATTATTCAAATCCCCTGCCTGATCAGAATTTGAATGAAGTTTCACCACAACAGTATCTAATCTGTCAAGTCCTATCATGTGTAAGCTTTTATTTTTATTTTCCTCAAAATTATCTCCCTTAGATTTTAGAGTTATCTCCCTTAAGTTCGTAAATCCAGAATAATCTTGCATGAAATAACATTAAGGCAATGCTATTCACATTAATTATTATCTATTTTCATTTTAAATTTACATTATCCATAATGTGGGGCTAATTTCTCATCATTTCAGTTTCAATTCAAATTATAAATCAATTGTCATTGAACTCTCTTAAAAATGAGTTACAATAAATATACACAGTATATACAGTAGCATACATCCTTAAAACTTGTGAACTCTTTAAATTACTGATTGTTGCAGGAGTTCATAATTTCAGAGACTTTCATTTACAGTGCTACCACCAGAAGTTATTGCAGTTATAGGGTTATGAATGTAATTGGCAACATATCGTTACATGAATAACGGAGATCAAAAAAAGGAAGATATAACGGGTAACAACTTATCATTAAGAAAACCATTTTTCTGAATGAATGGTAAATTTGTCTATTTTGTTCACACATTCAAACTGCATGGATAAGAATATGAAGCTCCTGTCTTTGTTTTGATTTCAATGTCCTGGATTTTAAGTGTACCAGCAGATACATAAACTTAAAGATTGTCCCCAGCCGATATCCATATATCACAGGGAAGACAGATCTTCCACCATAAATATTTTCATACACAAGGCCTGATCTTCATTCCACATAGTAGCAAATAAACAAGTAGGTGAAGGTCAGTGTGAATGAAGCTTACTGCCTGCCTTCCTATCTGACAGCTGTCACCTTCAAACATATTCCAACATCACCATGTCAGCATACATTCATTATACTTAATTACACCAAGTTCAGGTTTTAACAAACTACATCATGAAAGAGACTCCAAAACAGTGTTGACACATTTGGAATTTTCAAATATAAACTGATAATAAGCACATATAACTATTTTTTAATAATACATGTCAGTCTGTATTCGGCTTATCTCTATAAACTGTTCTTCTTTATCATGCATCATGTAAATAATACTGTCCCTGATGAAAATGACAGTTTTTGATAAACAATGACTTTAAATTTCCACCGATGAGAAATACCTTTTTTAATCCTCTTATCTTGACGGAATTAAAGAACCTGACATTTATCATATTACGTCTGAAGAATAATTCCTATTTATTCCTCTTGGCGTATATTTAATTGTAAGAATAAATATTCATTAGAATTTAATTTCACAATAAATCTTGTGAGAAAGCGATGCCTGCCACAGTAGCATGGAAACTTTGTATTTGTTTTCTTATGTTGATTCAGTATGATAAAAGCAAACACTTCAGGCTGTAAGTAAACAGGTAGTTTCAGTGATAAAGAACCCTATCGCATATCAATGTTGAGAAAATAACGACTTTTAAGTTTGTTGAGCAAATTGACGAATAAATCAATCAGAAATATCATGAAAAGAGAAGACCAGAATATAACAGCTATTTTATTATCATAAATAACATCTTACCGAAGGGGAGATAAATGACCAGTGAAGTGGACAAGTACTGACCAGTCCTGAGACCAATAACAATTTGGTTAAATCTGTGAGGGTCACAGGTGATGATATCTGCTTATTGAAGGTTCAGCAAGCAATACAGATGGCCACATTTTTATGTCCAATGTTTATTCTGTTTTGACCAGAAAATCTTTAATCTAGCATAATATATATAGCATTTCATCAAAGACCACCAGCCATGCATCCTTTCTAAAGATGTAAAAAAAAAAAAAAAGAACTGGATGGGGAGAGGTTGGGGGAACAAAAACAGTAAACAACTAACTTCTCCACATGAAATTGGGCAACTTGTTTATCTCTTCATGTATGTAATAAAATTGTACTCACTTTTCTAATGGGTCCATATACTTCAAATTCTCTTCTCAGTTTGGATTCGCTTGTGTCGAAATTCTGTAAAGAGAAAAAAAAGATATAAATTTTTCTCCTTGTCTGTTAGCCACATGAACTACAGGCATAACATCAATTATTGGTTTATATTATACAATGTTAAAATTAAATGATATATTGTCAAATTAGATGTATTTTTTTTAAGCATTTCACAAAATTCTTTCCATACTCTTTATATAACCACAAAGTTTTAGTCTTGTAGCAGTTTTATTGAGGGTAACTAACATTTCTGATGCACATTACAGTAGGTATAACATTTTCAATATTATCCAACCATACAGATTTTGAATCATTTTCTTTCTTCTATCTCAATATCAAAATAGCTTTTTTTCCACCTGACTGAACATATTATTACTTGCTATCTTCGTGATCATTCATCCAGTCAGGTGATATTTGGAATACACTAACTTTGTTACCTTGGACCAATCAGAATTTGAACCTTATTAATAGGTATATCTGGCCGAACAATCATTTACATAATGAAGCTAGTGAGAGTAGACTTGCTGTGAATATCTTAGCCATTTCTCAGTCTGTAAGGCCCATTACAACAGCTAAGTGCCCCTATTGAGTCACCATAGCATGACAGCCAGACATTTATCACCGAGTGTCCAGGTCTGGCATTTGGCAGTCAATAGAAACTGACCGATTTTTTTTAATGGCAAATTGAGAAGATTACTGCATTTTCTTTTTTAGTGCAGCAAAGAAAACAAAGAGACAGATCAGGAAAAAATGCAAGAACAAATGTCAATTATAGGACATTTAACTTAATGTTTCACAGTAAACTGACTGACTTTTACCACCAAAAGATGCCGACACTCATTCAGAAATATTCAACCAAAAATTTCACATTGATTTTCAAAAATTTGATGTGATTTTTGAAGATGCTGTTTTTGCAAAAAAAAAAATTCTTTAATGACACAAATTGTTTTTATCATTTCTAGTTTTTCAGACACTATTACTACAATAGCATATGTTTATACAAATAGATAAGGCAACAGCTGTGCCTACCCCTGGTTGAAAACATACGTGATGGCTGTTGCAGGTACAATGACATGTTACTACATTAACAACAAGATCCAACTGTATTTCACTCCATGAAGATGGGATAAAATTTGTATGGCACTAAATACATCAACATTTGATCGAATCCATGGTTGAAAGTGCATGGACAATGTTCATTTACTACTCCAATTTTTACATTAGCAAAGATCACACTGGTATACATAATGTCTTGTGAATGATACAAGTTCACTTGCCACCATCAAAGGCCCTTGTGCAGCTTTTCATTATCTTCGAAGCTTATTCTTTGATAAGAAAAATATCACTTTATTTCTAAATTCACATTATAGTTATCAATGAAATATAGGTCAAATGGTACTACCATGACCTTGACCTTTTAAATGACCTGCCTGCCAGTAACATTCAGTCATGACCTTAACCTTTCATAAGACATGCCTGTCAGTAACACTCAACCATGACCTTGACTGTTTTCTATAACCTTGAATTATCATGTTCGACCTCTTATGTGGTTGATGACTGTGGTGATGTTCATAGAAGTACAAACAAAGGCTATGTTCTAATGAACCTTTATCGGAGATGAATTAACCTTATATAACAAATCCATATGTACATTATGGTAAATTGAAGAGCCTACTCCTAATGAACCTGGGTCCAGATAGAGGGAAACTGTTTCTCTAAAACGGCTTTCTCTCAAGGACTTTAAAATATTTATTCTACAGAGTTCTTAAAACTAAAAAGCATTTATATCCTCAAACTGAAGGATTCCTGTAAAATATCAAAGGCCATAAAAAAAGGTGATGGTGGACAACACACTCGGCAATCAGGACGACAAGCCTGGCTGTCGTTCTATGCATTACACCAGACAATTTCCTACATGCTAATCCTATTTCCTTTATGGGAGTTTTATAAGTATATTATCTGTACCAAATCCCTTCAAGACTTTCAACATAAAACTTTAGCAATATACCTACAGATTCAGATTTTAAAGCTAAAGCAGAGATCAATGAAAACTTTGTTCTTCCTTTGCTGAAATATTGTAGATTTGTTATTTTGGTACTTGTATCCCTGGAGGTTGCGAATTCCTAGACGATGTACACTTTATGTCATTCTTATTCAGTGAACTGACAAAACGAAGGGTTTATCAGCAAGCACTGGGTTCAGGGGATGAGGTAAAAGACAGGATGGTGACAGAATATACAGAATAATGTGTTCTATTCATAACCTTTTATCTTTAACCAGGCATGTGTTTAGGATCTACTTAATCAACGGTATCACTCAAATCTAAATACAAGTTAACAATTCCTGTCTTCCTGTCTACAGGAAATTCAAATTATTTATTAGGAAAATATCTACATCAGACATTTTAAAACACTTCAACAATATAGCAAGCAAAATATGATTTGTAAAAAGTCAAGGATACATGGATTGCTCAAACTTGCAGACACTTTTTTGTGATTCAAACTTTAAATGACCTTTTCACTTACAGGTTGTCAGGTCTTAACTCTGCCTTAATAATATACATTTTTGACTTCTTAGTGTCGAACTCTTTATGGAAAAGAAGCTTAGTATCAAGGTAGCATACATCCTTAAGTCTCTACGTCACCGTGAGATAGCATACACCCTTAAGTCTTTTTGCATATGTCACAGAAATATGGTAGCATATATATCCTTAAGTGACTGCAAGGATTAGAAATCCGTTTTCATTACCAATCCAGGAAGCAGAATGTGCATTTTTGATCGCCTACTCTAAAATGGTTTACTATCAGATGTCTACATATCAGCTTGGATAAAACACAAGTCGCTATCACAATAATGCCAATGATGAGGATCGGATGGCCATAGTTTGGCCATAAAGTGGTCTTGGTACACCCTCAGTGGACATCCAATCTTGTCTGGCATTCAGACATATAGGATTACACAATCATTAGATAATTTTAACATTTTTTTTTGTCTGTTTCATCTAATAAAAATGACACTTTTGTCTGAACAAAGTCTCTCCTGTTGCATACATATAATGTGCCATCCACAGCAATTGTTTTCAATTATTTCGATTTTATCCTATCAGTTATCATAAAAAAATGACTGTACACATATTGCATAAACCAATGTCTAGAGGTTTTGCACTATCATGGTCAATCCTTGTGCTGAAACAAGGCAGGAAATTTATTTGAATAAATCAAATCAAAATGAAGTAATTTCAGGAAGAAAAATGTTTGTATCTGTAAAGAAGACTGAATAGTCTGTTGAATTAAATTAAATGTCAAGATATTCTCCTTCCATTTACAGCTAACAATGGAAATTTATCTTGATATCAATCCAAAACAAAACTCTTCTATCAAGATATTGAAGACATGATGCAAAAAGAAAGTGCTCCTAATTAATACATTTGTTTCTGTTCCCAATATTTCTCATTCCCTCCTTTTTTTCCCTTTTTAATCAAAGACAACATGTAAACGTCTTTAGCATAATACTTTCTTAAATTCACAAATTGAATCTTCAATACATGTTTTGCAACATAGCAGCCAAGAGGCATGCACCTCTGAAATCAAAAGAAGAATGGTGTCTGGCCTTATGGGAGTCGGTTAACTTAATACAATCGATGGAACCTTTACTTTATGAAGACATGTCTCATTGTGGTCATTCCATGAACTTTCAATTTTATCTACATTGAAGCATTTTGCTTCATTTACACATTTATCACCTATTAAGAGAAATACTTCTGCTAGAAACTGTCTTTATACAAGGTATTTATTAGTATTTTATAAAAAAAAAACCCAGGCAACATGTGTAACTTAATTAAAAGTCGATCATGACTAAAGGGTCCTTCTGGAATATATTGCTTATTAATAAATAATGAAAAATGTAAAGCCAATATTAGTTTTCATATACTCAAGTGTCTTTTTCTTTAATACCAGTTCTCTTTGATCTAATGTTCCCTATCTTCATCCCATTGAGTTGTCATGACATCAATGTTGTTAAGTTACCATGACTTCAGTTAGCCATGTTGAGTTGTCATGACATCAGTCATGTTGAGTTGTCATGACATCAGTCTTTTTGAGTTGTCATGACATCAGTCTTTTTGAGTGGTCATGACATCAGTGTTAAGTTTCCATGACTTCAGTTAGTCATGTTGAGTAACCATGGCATTAGGGTTTTTGAGATGTCATGACACTGACAATTCCATTTCTGCTGTTGGGATGTCATGACATCAGTTGGTTACTTAAATATCATTTGTTTAAAAAAAAAAGAAATGTCATGACAATCCAGCAACAGCCATAAAACAGCTGATACCATGGACACCAACAAGTTCTAAAACAAGATTTGTTTTCCACAATTGACAATCATCCTTGATAGGTTCCTTCTGCCAAGCGTACCTAACCTTGTCATGAGGTCACTATTACTCCTATTGGTTTTTATTGGACGTCATCATTGTCCTGTGTGTGGGACCAATTGAGTAGGAGACAATGCACACTAGCTATCACACAATATAGCCCCAGTAGAGCCATTACTTAAGAGTGGTCGTCTCTGCCACAACTGCAGGAGCGACTTCGCACACATCAATTACTCCAATACCAACCTAAACCTATCATTTACACAAAGCTTTTTTCCTCTGCATTTAGGATGTTGCGATACCCAAACATGACTTAACTCCTGAAAAGAACAGTTCTGCACAAAAAAAAAAAAAAGTAATAAGGTTGATGTGATCAGGTTAGTTAAATGTTGGCATTAAAAATTTAAGCTACAACATACATTTAGTTTTTAACAGTAAACTCTACTGTAAAATAAATGCCAATTTCTAACTTCCATGATATATTTTGAGTTTTGTCTTCAGGTAGCCATGCTCAATTCCTTGAAATTTTGCTGTCTGATTTTTAATTTGCTTTTTCCGCCTCTATTTGAAAATATACAATTTATTCTATATAGGAGCTAACAAGGCTTTTTATCAGCAGATTCCAGAATAAATTGATAACCTGTATCAAGTT